CATCGTATTAGCCAGACTGAAGTCTCTGCTCAGACAGTACGAAGACCGCAAAGATTTTCTACAGGAGTTAGTTCGATAACATCTTCAAAGATCAACTCCAGGAAGGAATTATTGAAGTAGTGGAAGAAGATGCCGGCAAACCTCGACCTAAAGGCAGAATCATCCACTATATGGCACATCAAGCAGTGGTGATCCCAGAAAACGAACAACCCCGAAACTATCGTTTTCGACGCATCAGCTCACTATGCTGGCAAGCCATCACTCTATGACGTCCTTCATCAAATACCCTCGACGATACCTAATATCTGTGGAATGCTCATGAGATTCCGAATAGGAAAGATCGCCATGACCGCGGATATAGAAAAGGCCTTCTTACAAGTGAGGTTACACGAACAGGACCGAGACGCAACAAGATTCTTATGGCTCAAGAATCTGAACGAACCGTTAAGCGAAGACAACATTGTCACTTTCCGCTTCGCACGAGTGACATTCGGTCTTATTTCGTCACCCTTTCTGTTGGGAGCAACCATCAATTTCCACTTGGATAACACAGAAACCGGGAACGATTTTGCCTCACAAGTGAAGGATAACCTGTATATGGACAACCTCTTCATCACGACGGACGATGGAGACGAAGCCATCAAACAATATAAAGAAGTCAAACGAATCTTCGAAGATATCATTGTGAACATGAGGGAGTTCACTACGAATGAAGCAGAGGTCAGAAGACACTTCGCAGAGGGAGACCGAAGCACTTCAACGAAGTGTAAGGTCTTAGGGATCGAATGGCTCACTAACGACGACATATTAGTAGCCAGATGCGACGGTGAACCGCTAAAAAGAGTGACGAAACGAGCGGTATTGCACGTCAATGCATCAGTCTTCGATCCATTAGGCTGGCTCACACCGCTTATGGTGAGAAACAAACACTTCTTCCAACAGAGAGAGAGCAAGTCGTTCCTATGGATGGAACGACTTGCTCTCTCAAGAGGATCAGGAGCAGTGGAAGAAGTTGTGGGAACCCATTACAGGCTTCACGAAGCAGTTACCGAGAAAACTAGGGACGAAGCAAGGAAACTATCAACTAATCGCTTGCAGTGACGCCAGCTACGCATTAGCAGCAGCTGTTTACATTAGGCAAGAGACAGAACAGCACCTGCTGATAGCGAAGTCGAAACTACCTTCGCTAAAGATGCCACACACAATCCCGAAAATGGAAATCAACGCCTTGACGATAGCAGGGAGGCTGTTGCTATCCACGTTCGAAGAATTGAAGAAAACCATCAACATAAATACTGTTCATCTCCTGTCAGACTCGGAGATAGCCTTGAGTTGGCTGAAGAACGATAACCCACAGAAGGCTACAGGAGCAGGGTTGAGCGCGGGGTCAGGCGCGCCCGACCTGGGGGATCGTATTGAGGGTAAGACTGAGGGGGGGGGGTCGTAATTAAGAATCGAATTTGTTAAGTCGAGGAGATACTGCGAAGGTGAAGAAGAAATGCGCTAGTCCGGTGGATATCGCGATCACATGAAGGAATGATGGTCATAAACAGCATACTGCTTGTTTCGACAATTGAAGTTCCAGCCAAAATTCAAATCTTCATCTCTTTTACCTTAACATATGGGGTCGACAAGGAAACTTGCTGTGTGAAATGGGTATCATTTCCATAATCAACATGTCAAATTACCTCTATGCGCTCTATAAACCATTACCTACTACAGTTTCTAGTGTTCCGCAATGTCTAAAAAGCGTGATTTTCAAACGTGATCAACTTGTTTTCAGAAGTGATTATCACTTCTAAGTAAGTAGTAAGTTCTAAGTCAGCTTTTGTATACTCATAACAAAGTAATGTTCTCTACAAGTCTATGCTACAAATCGGGATTTATATCGCTTTCAACAGTGAAGTAAGAAGTGCTACCAAAATTCCAACCGGCGCGTTTCTCACGTTGAGTGCTTCAACTCCTCGGATTAGTACAAGGCCGAAACAAGTCGAACCAAGCTCAAACACTTACTGTGGAATCTTCGAGGGTTGAGCTAGCGAATCACTTAAAACTTGGGTGGAAAAGCTTTTTGGGAAATAAAGTTAATGGGGTCAGGCGCAAGGCCGCCTGAGCTTTGAGGGGTTGCGCCTGACCCTCTTAACTTGCCTTCAAAATTCAAAAATCGCCCCTTTTTTGATATGAGTATTGAGCACAAAGCCTCTTCTTGCCATACTGAAATGAAGCCAAGCACTCCACCCCTGTGAAAATCATAGCTCTAAAAAGAGGACTATTCAGATCTAAAACTTGCCGTCAAGTTGCGTGTGGTTGTGCAATCGCAGAAAGTCGGGCCTACAGACTATCAAAAAATAGAAACCTGCAGTGAAAGGCTGGTCTTCTTCAAAGCATAATACCCTGAGGACTTGAAGGTGAAGCAGAGGGTCGTTTAGGGGCTTTCACAGGGGGGGGGGGTCGTTTTTGAAGGACTTGTGCCTGACCTCTAATTCAACCCTGCTACAGGAGTCTTACAAGGAAAGGAAGGTTAGTCGAAGTGGCCTTTCGAAATGAGATATACACTGCCTTGTAGAGCTTAGGACGCTGATTCCAAGTCTACCTTTGCTATCTGGTGCGGGCTTCTGGGCGAGGAGTTATGAAGCTTTTTGTGAGTAAAAATCTGAATGCAAGAGTAGGCTAAACTCAGTCGTAACATTTTTTATAGAGCTTAATTGGTAGCCGGGTCACTCGGTGCAACAAATATTCCTGATTCAAATATACCAATTCGCTGCTGCCTCCTTCGAACACTGAGAAAAGGTCACGACTGATTTTACCCTATTTTTGCATTCAGATTTTTATTCACAAAAACCTTCATAACTCCTCGGCCAGAAGCCCGCAGCAGACAGCAAAGGTAGATTTGGAATCAGCGTTCCAAGCTCTACAAGGCAGCATACACCTCATTTCAAAGGGCCACTTTGACCAACCTTCCTTCCCTTGTTAGTAGCGAACAGAATCAAAGAAATCAAGAAAATTGCGAAGAAACTGGAGCAGAAAGGGGTAAAGATCCACTTCGGATACATAAACACGAAGATAAAAGCAGACTGCGCCACGAGGTCTTACAGCCGCGGAACTGCAACATCACATATGGTGGAATGGCCCTCCGACCTCACTCACGGACGAAAACGCCTTTTACGAAGGGCTAGAACTTCTCCAATTACCCCCTGATCTTGCTAAAGTATTGCAGATCTCGAATGCGAGTCACTTACCACTCTTGCAGTGGGAACGGTTCAGTTCGTTCCGAAGATTGAAAAAAACAACAGCGTATGTTGGCAAACTCCTGACGAAACTGGCGAAGAACTTACCAGAAGAATCGAAACTGAAAATCAGAAGGCTAGTGGAGTTCAGGAAGACACGGATAAACTCCAGGGAACCGATCTAGTACAAGCAGAAAGTACTATCATTAAGCTCCACCAGAAAGAACACGAAGATCTGATAACAGCCAACGAACAACGAAAACTCAACATCAACACGTTTCGGACCGGTACTGCACATGGTGCAGCACGCGCCTTCGAAGGACCTTTTCAACGTTTACAGGGGGTTTTCTTTTTGTCCAAGGTTACCAAGTCAAAGGCCTAAGCTTCTACTTTTCGGATGACTCTGCAGAGTTGTGCAGCCGATATTTGTTTAGGAGATATGAGCACGCGAACGACGCGTGCGACGTCGCAACTTTTCTTAGCTTTGTATACGAAGGGAAAAACCTTCTAATAGTAATGTATATTGTGTACAACATAGATACTTTTGGATACAATTAGAAACTGAAATCTTGTTCCTATCTTTCAAGAAAGCACGGAAGTGCTTCTCAGACTACAAAATTCAAACACTTCGAATTCACTCAGAACTCTGGGTATGGATCTTATCTGACATGCTGATTACAGATGTAGCACACAATCTACGTATTAAGGTCCCTTTGCTAGCTAACGGCTAAGTACCCTCTTTTCCGCTGCGCGCGATTTCGCGGTCCGAAACGTGTTAACAGAGATGGTAAATGTATCTGGAGATGCTTCGGAAGATTAGGCAACAGTTGCCTGCAAGAAGACGCCAAAAACCCCATTTTCATAGCGCCGAACACGCATTTAGCGAAGCTCATAATCCGAGATGCGCCGGTAAGCTCCACTGCGGAGTCGGGTTAACCATGGCGGAGGTACGAAAAAATTACTGGATACCGAAGTTGAGACAACAAACGAAAAAGGAGATTCAGAGATGCGTACCGTGTCAGAAATTCAACAACTTACCGTTCCGGTACCCACCGTTAGCGGATCTACCTACCAGAAGAGTAGTCAGGTCACGACCCTTTCAGAACATCGGCCTAGACCTTTTCGGACCCATGAAGATACGAAGCAACGAAAAGATCGTCTCGAAAGCGTACGGATGTGTATATTTACATGTGCAACAACCCGCCTAATGCACATCGAGCTCATTCGAGACAACTCGACGATGGCGTTCATAAATGCCCTACGTCGATTCATGTCACGCCGAGAAGTTCCGGACTCGATCACCTGCGATAATGCCACGAATTTCGCATTGGCAGAGCGAATAACCACGGATTGTCTGAGAAACGACGAAGTGGATCAGTTCATGGCGAATGCACACATAACGTGGAAGATCACGCCGTATGCACCAAGGCAAGGAGTGTTTTACGAGCGTCTTATAAAGGACGCCAAACAGTCGCTCTACAAAACCCTTAGGCCTAAGGCATACCTCATGCGATTCGGCCAAATCGCGACGTTCACGTGACCTGGCAGCTTGCCAGATTTTTCCCTATTAATCGTACGCGGTCCTCCATACACAGGCGCGTAGCTTCTGTGATTTGTTGCAAACCTATCAAGTCCCGTCTTAACAAAGCGCTTTGATGACCTACTATGGGCAGTCGTCCCGTTACCAAATCGCACAGCGACTGGAATCGCGCGAGGTATGCCTTAGGCTATAGCAGGAAAATCGTCGACGAAGATTCACTCAGGACCGTGCTGATGGAAATCGAAAGCACCCTGAATAACAGACTGTTGACGTATCAGGGAGAAAATCCGGACGAAATTGTCCCGATACGACCCATAGACTTTGTGCAGAACAAGCTTGTCATCACATATTCCTTCGATGATGATGACCTCGGAAACAGGGAGGACCCCAACTTTTTACCACCCGAAGAAGCTGCTCAACTTAGGACTCAAAACGAAGCAAAAACAGCCCTGCACGCTTCGCAGATGCTCACAAACAGATTTTGGAAGCTGTGGAAAGACAGCTATTTGACGTCATTACGGGAGCAGCATCGAAAACATCTACATCAAGGTCTAGTACCCCGAAATTGCCCGAGTTGGACAAGTAGTACTCATACAAGATCCATTTTTATCGAACATTGCTTGGAAAATGGGATTGATAACGAATTTAGGGACGGAGAATCCAAATCAAATAGGCCAAGTCGAGCTCAGAATGCCACGGAAAAGTGACGAAGAGACCGGTAAACAATCTCATACCACTAGAATTATGGATTCGGATCCCGGCCACGAACACATACCAACCCACGAAAACCGACCCACACCCACCGAACTTCCAAGCGAACCCTCATCCGAAACCTCAGGGCGCCCCAAACGAAACCCCTCCAAACAGTACCCGTACAGCCCCGAAGAGTGCGAAATCAACTCCATTAGTATAGACGAAAAATCAGTTATCCAGTCGAATACGTCCATTTTCAGGATGCAGCAGGAGCAGCAACATATCGTTGATTCTTTCCTGCACAGGTTTGCCGAACGCCGGTCGATGTTTAACGAAGACGAATTGAAACGACGAGGTAGTATACGAAGAAAACACCGACCTCATCGACCACGAACGCGAGCTAGAGTCGAAGACTTCTAAACTTCAGGACAATGCCAGTCACTACGAACCCGTACCACAGAAAGCAAAGCCATTACTTGACAAGAAGAACGAACTTTTAGCCACGATAACTGTTCTGAAACAACGTTGGGAACAAGTTCAAGTCGTCTCTAGCCTCCTGTGGGAGGTGTACGATAAACTGGCCGAAGACGATCCCCTTATTCTCTTCAGTCGACAAGCATACGAACGAAGGCCAAGAGAGGGAGGACGTCTCAATTCCAAAGAAGTCAACGGTAACGTCATCCGCGATCATTTGAACAAACTCAAGAACACTCAAGGAATACTGAAATTTCTTACGATTGATCCATTCTTGAATCTATATATCGAGAAAGACGAAGAAGATCCATATGTGACCGAAGACGCAGATATCCACACGAAACTCGACGACATCGAAAAACTTCTGCAAAGACTCATCGAAGACACGAACACCACCAAGCAATCTCCGGATATCGAATCCATTTTGCGAAAGCTACACAGAATCGAATCGATGCTTCTGGAAGAAAAGGCAAAACGAACCGAAGAAACCACCACACAGCAATTACTTCACATCACAACGTTGATAAAAAAATCTCGATAATTGGAAGAGAAGATCACTGATAGTAGCGAGCTCGTAGTAAATTCCATGATCAACCTTATGACTCAGATATCGACCATTTTGCGCAATGACCAATCGTCAGGATCGGTTGAAGAACGAAGATCTCTAGTTTTGCCTCTTCTGCCTGGGCAAGACATGCCCAAAACCTTGCCCCAACAGAGCGCCTTGCAAGTACTGCAAGTCGAATTTTCACCACTGTAGCTTGTGCCCATTACCGGAGGAATGAAGTTATCTCGAGAACCAGCTCGCTCACTATCATCACTGAAGGCCCCCGGAGTGTGCTGAGGCCGGACTTGACCCCCGGCCTCAGCACCTCTGATCTGTTGCGCGCCAAAAATGCGTATTTAGGCCGCGGACGAAGGAGCTACGTACAGCGATCAATCACGGTTCGGATTTCGTCATATATCCTCAACTGATATTCTCCCGTTAGTTGTTTTGCTATGTTTTTGTATTCTTTCGCCTTGCCTTGTCTCATTACTTGTATTGTTGCCTTGTATTGTTTCCCTTTTTACTAAGGGTGCTAACAGAAGATACTCATGCCTCAGAGCCTTCCCTATTTTGTTGAAGATTCTCAGTACATTCCCTTAATGTTCGAATAGTGTTAGAATTTTGCCTCGTATCTGTTTTGTTGTTGGTTACTTGTTAATAAAAGGTTTAATTACCCAAGTTTAAGGTGTGGTACAACGGCGGTTTCTCTCCGCGTCTACCTCGAGTCTGTTTTGGTATTCCCTGGTGCTGTATTATTTGTTCAGTGATCACGTAGCGACAATTCACCAACTTCGATTGCTGAAGACCCGCGTGGCATACGAATCTCCCATTGGTACGAAGGCTCGATCTCAACGAAGCAGGTGAAAGGTGAGATTTTGACGAAACCTTTCGTTTCATTTTCGTTCTTCCTTTCGAGTTTCGTTTGTGGTCATTTTTGAGTACGGGTTCCCCCTTTCCTTTCTCGATATCCCGGGACCCAACTCACATCTCAAAAACTAGGTGACATCAAGTATGCGATGGATGTAATTCACAAACACACATGCATAAACTTTCGGCCGCGAACTTCAATTGATATGCATTACTTATCAATCTATAGAAACTACAGCGAAGAGCAAGTTACAGCTCAAGAATGCTACATTATTGACACCATCGCTTATTTCAAATGTTACGGACGTCGGTCGGCAAACAACGGGTTATTTTCGCATATCCGAAGGCAAGTTCAGAACGAGGATGAATATGCACACTACTTGCTTAAGTCGACTTAATATGATTCATGAATTGATGCACACTATCGGCTTCCATCACGAGTATCAGAGGTTTATGACAAATCTTTGTTTCATTAGCGACAGTTCATTTAGCTTAAGGAAATCTTGCAGAGAGGATCGCGATTCACGTGTCACCGCAGGCCCACAAAACCCAGATGCTAGATACGATTACTGGACTCGGTCATTTACACCTATGCGCTCTACCATGGCTAGTTACGATCCGGAGTCGATCATGCATTACCTAATACCTAGTTTTAAGGGCCGGGCATACTTCGCGCGATTTCAGTCGCGACGCGATTTCGCAATTCGCCAAAAGACTTCAAAACCAACACTAACAACTGCATATGCATAGTGTGTATAACATACGTTTGAGAGAATACCCTATCATCTGTACATTTAAAATGTACTTACAATGAGCTATGGACATCTGGAATCTTGCCAAATCGCGTCGCGACTGTAATCGCATGAAGTATGCCTGACCCTTTAGACCGTGCCAACAAAATTACTTTTCTTAATCGAATATCGATAACATCAACAAAATGTATAAGTGCTTAAAGGTGAAATGTAGTTAGAAGTTTGTCGGGACAACGAGGCTCATAAATACAGTGTTACATTCCTCTATGAAAATGGCACAAAAGGGGACAAGGGGATTTCTTATTCTACACACTTTAAAGCTAGTATTTTCTATTTTTTTACTCTTCAATGACTGAGTTGATTCAGCCGGTAGAACAACTGTCAGAGCATCTTTCATTTTTTTCGTATAGACGCAGCCCACCTTGCAAAGAAAGGGCACATCAAAAGGCAATTTTTGAATTTATCACTGGATTTCCAACTAACCACCTCAAGTTCGTTAAAGGCAGCGTCCAGGCAGATCTGGACCTATGAGGATTTTACGTGGAAAGTACTTTTGGGCCCCTAACTAATCCATTGCCCAAGCGGCAGCGCAGGTAGTACTCTAAGGCTGCGTTCATACTGATCCGGAAGTCCGAGAACAGTTCCAGCACAGCGCTAAATTCGAGCGCTGTGCTGGAACTGTTCCCAAACATCCGGGTCGGTATAAACGCAGCCTAACGGCTGAGATATTCCCCTCGAAAGTGGACCCCGCGATCGTATTCGCATGGATTTATGGCAGTTTCGCGCCAGGATCCACGCTTTGCGCCATAAATCCATGCGGAAACGATCGCGGGGTCCACTTTCGAGGGGAATATCTCAGCCGTTAGAGCACTACCTGAGCTGCCGGTTGGGCAATGGCTTAGTTAGGGCCCCAAAATTACTATCCACGTGAGATCCCCATGTGTCCAGACTTGCCTGGACGCTGCCTTCAATTACTAGTTCCTCAAGCGTGCCATTCAAAATGAAGAAACGTTCGCCCATGGGCATTCACCACGGTCCGAATTGCAGTCGCATACATAACAGAGACGAAACAACTATTTGAGAAAAGAAACAAGTTTTGACCAAAGCTATGCAGAATATTTGTCCTGACTTAGGTTTTGAAATTAATTTAGACCATTCAAGAAAGGGTATCTCGCTCTGAAGTAAATCTGCAAAACCCTTTTGCTAAATATTACATAGGGACAATGCAAAGTCAAATGAGAGCTAGTTGTCAAATCTTTTGCCCGGGAACATGTCTGCAGAAAAAGGCAAAAGCGGATTACTGTAAAATGCTGCACTGTAAGCAGGGAATTCCCAGGCGGCACCATCTTATGTTGCCAATGCTCATCTACGCAATTCCTTCGTAGGCAAAAATCAACAAACCCTCGCTCAAAGAAGCATTGAGTTTTGTATTTTTTCGCAGTGGAAAGAGAATGGCACAAGAGTAAAGAACTACGTTTTCACTGAACTTAACAATTAGAGAAAAAGAAAGATAGCGGAGCATTTTTCTAACAAAAGTTTGACTTGCGAAGTTTGAAGGCAGTGGCTCGGCAAATCCTCGACCTTTGGGTTTTCGCTTACCTGGGGTAACTCGACGCGCTAATTCCGGAAATCCACTTTTTAGAGCGCGAAAATGGCGAAAACCAGCATTTCTCAAACCCCCTCATTTTGAATTTGGACGAGTGTAGTGCCTCCTGCCATAGTTAGAGACGCAGAGTCGTTGTGGGAGCCTCATGTTTATAACACTGCGGCATGCCGCCCCTGACGGCGCGAGGGATATCGCAAGCTCGTCCGAGCGCGTGTAAGAATGGCTGGCGCGCACGGGTATAGGGGCAATTTCCAGGGGTTGCATGTTGTGCGCTCGGAGCTGCTCAGTTCTTATGTTTAGGATGCATGCAAGGGTAGAGGACTATATGTCGCCGAAAAAGGGCAGTCCCCGCGGTCATTTGCGACAAATACGCACCCTTGTACATGCGCGGACATGCGTTCCTGCAGGGAATCCGCGCATGACTCTTCCAAATTCAACGACATAAATGTCGCCGAATGCCGCCTCAATGTCGCCTCCACCCTGCAGGCAATCTTCCTTATAAAAATTCCAAGATGTTAGATTTTGCCGAGCCACTGCCCTTAACTATCAACTACTACTTTTTGAACTATTTGAACATTACGCAGAACAAAAACGGGTCAAATTTTGCAGCCAAAACCAAACCAGATCCTCTTTTGTTAGCCCTCCTCTTAACGCTTTCTCGACCGTCGCTATCACTGGAAGTGGCTACTCGTTCACGCACAACTTCACTTTTAGAATACCTGTCTGTCACGAAAGGATTCTATCGCTTCAGGATCGAATTCCTCCAGGATGGTTACCTTCGATTGTAGAATCTCGGACTGCCCTATCTGCAAACAGTTATCGATGTTCCACTGCAACTAGCCGCCGAAAGCTCGAAAAGATCCGCTCTCAGAATGGTATCAAATCACGGTGATTCTAAAAATCAGCTTGAGTTTCCAAAGACCTGCACAAAAATTATAAAAACTTCCGTACTCACTGTGTACATGTGCATCTTTTCTTTTACCTTTGTATCTTCGCGTCGGTAAACGATGGCTTTAGGTCGCAACCTCTGCTCTTCTGCTGTTGACATAAGACGCGCTCGCTTTTGAAAGCACTAGAATTCCTTGATTTGCTCGCTCACGTTGAAAATTTTAGACAAACCTGACCCGCTTTCATAATCGGAGGTGCAGGTATCTTTAGACAATGTTTTTGATCCTTGGAACTGCTACTAACAGGTTTGTCGTCGGACTAACCACCAGATATTAGGGATTTGCTTGCAGGTTCCTCCAAAAACTGAAGAACGCTACCTTTTCGACGTCTCCTTCACATCTTCTTACTCGAAGAGTTGGTGATCGACGTTGTTTTCTCTACTTCTTAAACATCGATCATATCTTCCTCGAGATGCACATCACCTGGTGATGTGTCGGACGCTGAGATATTGTAATAGATCAAAAATTGGCTTTGTTAGTAAATGCTAACACTTAAGATTTCTAGTACATAGCGGTCAAGACGGGTGCAACAAAAGATATTGCTGAGAGCTTTTTTAAAAAAGATAATACATCATTTCTATAAGCATCATTTTTTATTAGAAACAGCGACTTGCTCTATTGCATCTGGAGGGCGAATTTTTAGATCTTGCTGGTATGGTACGTCTATAAACGATTTAGAGGCCGATTTACGACAACGGACAGTGCGAAAAACGCTTAAATGATCGCGAACGAGAGACATTGATGAGAATAAAGGTAATGACTCGTAATGAGATAGCAGCTGGAAAGTAATTGTTTATGGTGTAAGCCAAGCATTGAAATTTT